CCTATAAATCCTTTATTGAAGATTTTTTTAAAACTGACAGGGCTCAAAAATCTAAGCCATAAATAAATTAAAACTCCAAGGCCCTGGATGGCCTGCAAATAACTACCAAGATTAAAAATAATGAAGAGTTATGTATAATTTTTAATAGAAACAAACATAACATCAAAAGGTAGGCAAAAAACATAATTTCTACCCCCAAAAGCATTAACATCTTATTCATATGTCAAGTATGTTACATCAAAAAATATTTATAAACAAAACATACTTTTAGAAATTAATGAGACAGTTACAGAGAGAAATTTATTTTCCAAGAACAACAAAACTGATCAGAATAAAACCAACATTCTGGAATACTATTAATTAGTATTCATACTTATTGATAGATTTCCTTTCCCCAAGAGATTCAAAATACCTCTAAAACTAAAACTGTAATTATATTCTAATGTACTAATTCTGATTATTAACCCTTCAGAGCAGTTAAAGATTACATGAACATACAATTCATATTCATAAATGTATTTATTCAAATTCAATGAGCCATGATTCTTATAAATGGAAGTCATTCTAAAATCTCCTCTTTCTGACCCACTCATTCTATCCAAAATTATATTATTCTCAACTCCTAAGCAAAAAGAACTGTCAATATTATTTAAATACTGAATGCTGGTTCCAGAAAATAACCAAATGAAGATATACATACACATATACTTATGAAATAACAGAACTTGGGTTTGGAGTAAAAGAGGCAAAATATAATAGAGCACTAGTCATTCTTTGTTTTGAAATAACCATGCCACTTTCTCAGCCAGAGTGACAGCTTTCTTTCCACTACAAGAACAAAACAGAAATCCCATCATCTGACTCTTAGTCATTGCCACATATTAACTGGTCTACTGTTATATCAGAACGTCCTTTTCCTTTGCTATAATAAAAGCAATATACCACACTTTTGGTCTCAAAAGTTCTCCTATTTCAAAGTGTGGCATTTAAGTGAACAGAGTTAATACAAACTAATCATTGGTAGGAAAGATAGGAACTATCCTCTATATGCTTTTCAAAATAGTATCAATAAATAAAGCACTCTCCCCCTTTGTTTTATTGGGGAGTTTTTTTTCTTACTTATATATTGCTGATAAGGATAAAAATTTACAAATTAAGGAAATTACATCTAGGGCTAGGGATGCAGTTCAGTGGTATACCACTTGCCTAGCATGCACAATGCTCTGCGTTCAATCCTAATATTGAAAAACAACAACAAATATATCTAAACAAATGAAGATTGGTATCTATGAGTATATTGGCTTACAAGCATCCTGTTAAGATGCTTAAGACGCTTGCTGCAAAGCGGAGAAATCTGTCACCAATTAACAAGGATTTACAAATCATCTCCAAATATCCCCATACCTCAAAGCACTACTCAGTTTCCTTAGAAAGATGGAAACTGAGATCCTTTGCCTCCAAACACAGGCAAAGTGTTTAGTGGTTAAAAACATGAACTTTAGAGTCACACAGATTTAATTTCACCATTTAGCAAAAAATAAATAAATAAAACAAGTTACTTAATCTAAGTTCTTTCTTTATAAAAATAATGATACCTTATAAGACTGTAACAATGATCAGAAAGCATGATATATAGAAAGTACTTAGTGTTAAATACTGAAATGGTAGAAACTGTCTTAACAAATAGTATTGTGGAAAACACATTGAGTAACCTCATCAGAAGGAAAAATAGAATGGAATCAGAAATAGGGGTCTCCTTTTATATTTATTTATTTATTAGTTTTCGGCAGACACAACATCTTTGTATGTGGTGCTGAGGATCCAACCCAGACCACAGGCATGCTAGGCAAGCTTGCTACCGCTTGAGCCACATACCCAGCCCAAGGGGTCTCCTTTTAAAAAGAAACCCATTAATTAAATTTAAATGAAGCAAAGCGCTTGATCCTAAAAGTTCTTTTCATTTAGATCTAGACTATAGACCCACCTACAGTCTAGATGGGTCCTAAAATGGGTCCTAAAAGTTCTTTTTGTTAGTTCTGAACTGTAAAATGTCTTCATGAGCACTGAGAAAATTGAATATGCAAACTTTTAAAGTCAAAATAAAACTTTTAGTAAACTGATAAATTTAGCATAACACAAAACACAAATTATTAGGGGGATTCTTTACAATACACTCACCCACACATGTAAATAAGTATCTGATGTAACTTTAAACATACAAGCAGAAGAATAACTTAAGCTTCAATCATAAAACCAAGTCCACCACCAATAATTTTCAACAAAATCAATAGCAAAGAATTAACCATCTCTGGTTTCATTGGTTTGCTTGACTATTAATGGAATTACCACTATTTCATTGTCAATCACACCATCACCTCTAGATACCTAAAAATAATGAGCAGAAAATAAATCCAAGCACTAAAATATGCAATAAATATATTTACATTCCTTTTACTTCTCCTAATCAAATATTTCAAAATTAAATAAACACATTTCTTATGAAAATTAGAAGTATTTCTAAAAATTAGAGATGCAAATAAGCATACCAGCATTAATCACTCTCAATTCAAAACCACCTAGAAAGCAGAAAACAAGTCTTTCCATATATCCTAGTAAAAAACACCTCCAGATGACTTAGGAAAGGTTGCGTTTTTCCTATTTCCTCTGACCACAGTCGTTACTTTAAGATTTATATCACTTGCCTTATTTAAACCCTTTCACTCTTGCTGCCAATTTTCTTGAGTATCCCATGGAAAGAAAAGATACGTTTTTAAAAAGATCCTCTTTAAGTAATGTCCTGAGCACTTACACACCATGTTTTCCCAAAAACATTACAGAATGCCTTCTATAATCTGATTGTGAACAAGCTTTTCTAGGAATGCAAATTTTGCTCTCAATACTTACACAATGGACTACAGTGTCATAAGCACTGTTCATGCTCTATTAGTCATTCTATTGAAAATTTTATTTTTCAAAATAACAACAAAAGGCCTATAGTGTGTTTCTGCATTTGGGACACACACAAAAAGCAAACAAACTCAGAACATTTGCAGTATCTCCAAAATTTAAAAAAAAAAAAATTACAAACCTATCCAAACTAATGCAGTTTTTAATTATTATAAAAATGCTATGCCAGACCCAGGGTTATTTAACTGAACCAATCTATAGGATAGAAGAGATAGCATGACTTATCTTTTCATCACTACATCTGATTGATAAAAATGAGACTACATTTTGTATTCTTCAGAGAAACAAAGAGGATCTGAGCTCTGGTATAGTCTTCGAACAATCCATGGGATTAAGGTCCATGTGACCCAGCATACAGTTAATTCTGAATCACTTTATTTCCAGGTCTGTCCATTTTACTTCCCAAACTAAAAAAATCAATGCATAATATTTGATAAGGCCACCAGCAACCAGTTTGCACAACAGTTTGCAAGCATATCTTTTTTTCTCTTAATGTTTTTTCAGAGATCCTACCTGAAAACTTAAGTAAAACTGGTAAAAGCCGAATTCTAGTCAAAATGAGTGTGTCAATGAGGAAGTGTAGGTTAGGACTGGGGAGCTGGAAGGATCCTGAGATCTAACAAAACTCCAACAGTTCAATGCAACAGCTTAAAAAAGCTTCTCAAAATTTGTTCAAAAATCACTGATCCAAATTCTGAAGACAGCTTAAATCAAACTCTATATGAATTTCACAAGTAGCCTAGTAGGTCTTTATATATAATCAATTAACTGGGGAAAATGTTACAATAAGCTGAAAATTAGACTATTAGATATTAGAACTCTAAACAAACTCTGAAACAAACACTTTCATCCGAACTAAAGTACAAGGGCAAAAATACTAAAAAAGAGTAATCTATTCAAAAAACATTTATTCAACAAACATTTCTACCTGGGCAATTACAGAGAACACATGGGAATTTGTGTATTAATAAATTACCCCACCATGCAAATCTGATTTCATTATTAAAATCAGTTACATATCCATTGTTTTGGCTATCTCGATAGATACTGTTTTCCTAAGACAAGCAAAAGTGATTATTACTAATAATATGTCACTCTCCTTTCAATGTGAAGAGATATCACTTTCCTGTATAAACTTCAAAATGACACGTGAAGTTAAGACAGATGTTTTTACACTGAATCAGCATCCTCATATCAGAGAAAACATTAAGCATTTGGTTTTGGAGAACTGGATGGTGTTGCGGGTGGGGAGCATGAAAGGATTAGATGAACTCTAGATAGGGCAAAGGGGTGGGAGGGGAAAGGAGAGGGCATTGGGGGTAGAAAAGATGGTGGAATGAGATAAACATCATTACCCTAAGTACATGTATAAAGACACAAATGGTGTGACTATACTTTGTGTACAACCAAAGATATGAAAAATTGTGTTCTATATGTGTAATATGAATTGTAATGCATTCTGCTGTCATATATAACAAATTAGAATAAATAATAAATTTTAAAAGGTGTTTTATTTTCAGTCACATTCAGTATAAAAAGAAGAGCATTCAACATCCCTTTCTCTTGCTATCCCAGAAAACTAAATTAAAAATTAAAGTACTGACTTCATTCAGTTATTCCTATCTTCCAAGGGCATCTGTCCATAATTTTAAATACGATACTCTATTTACTAGATTAGGGGGCTGTTAGAAATCAAACCATATAAAGACATTTTTTCCTGCTTGCTTTGTTCTCTATTTATATAATAAGGATAAGGAAAAATGTAATTAGTAACATTTTACATTATCACAGCCCTTTACAAATGTCAGTGTGCTCTCACACACATTATCTTCTATATACATTACCAACTCTGGAGCTAGATTGCCAAGTACTGAATTCTGCTTCTATCACTTTGACCTTGAGAAAGTTATTTAACCAATCTAGGCCTTGGTTTACTCATTTAGTTGTAATAAGGGTCATTTTTATACCCAGAAAAACTGCTATAAGGATTAAATTCATATAAGTGAAATATTTAAAATGATTCCTAAACTTACTGTATTATTTAAAATTACTGTCATCATCAATCATCATATTTGGGTTCCACAAAAATCCTGTAAAGGTAGGACAGCAGATTATCACTTTGCCCTTTTCCTGTAAGAAAATCAAGGATCAGAGATGTCAAGTCACTCATCTAGAGTCATCCTTAAAAAGCAGAATCAGAATTTTAAAACTAAGGACAAACAAAAGATCAATACTTTTCATTACATTGTGCTATAACACATCACACAATTTTTCCTGTTGATATAATTCTATATGCTTCTAAAGATCATAATCACTCTCTTTTAGATATTTAAACACTCAAATAATTTTAGGTACCACATGCTGGTAGCCACACTGAGAAGGAGTCTTTTATCCAAGATAGTGGCATTTCTTTTAAACATTTTAAGAAAAGTTGAGTCTGACTTCAAAAGCAAAGTATGCATTGACAACTTTCCAAGATTCCAAATTTCTTTTAAACAGTAAAATGTAAACCCCCATGAAATTTTACCACTTCTGTGTTATTTACACCGGGAGTAGAAGCAACATGGCATTTAGAGTCAAAAATAAACTTCCAGTTCCACCTTTTATAACCAGAGATACTTCTTGGGCTTCAGCTACTTATCTGTCAAATTAAGACCTATCTCACTGGATTATTATGAGAAATAAAACTGTGTCTGTAAAACATCTTTGGAACTAAAAATTACACCAAAATATATTAACTTTACTATTAGCTATTTTGAATACCCTGAGAACTATATTGAATATTCACTTATTCATTCAGTAACCATTTTCTCCCACAGAAAATGACTGATAGAAGTCTTCCAATATAATATTATCTTGAGTATTTTGTGATTATATAAGATGACAATGTGGATTAATCACTGCTACTCTTTCACAAAGAAAGAGAAATTTAGGTATCCTGCATAGTACCTATTCTAATATCATGTGATAAAAGAAGAATCCATAAAATCTGAGCCAGGCGCAGTGGCGCACACATGTAATCCCAGTGGCTCAGGAGGCCAGGCAGGAGGATTTCGAATTCAAATCCTGCCTTGGCAACTTAGCAAGGCACTTAGCCACTCAGCAAGACCCTGTCTCTAAATAAAATATTTAAAAAGGGCTGAGGATGTGGTTCAGTGATTAAACATCTCTGTGTTCGATCCCTGGTACCAAAAATGAAAATAAAATCTGAGCATGCATTTTTCTTTCTGATTTTAAATTTTAAGTAAGTAATACTAAACATTCAATGAAGTCCCAAGGAAACTCTGTGGACATACAGTAATAATTAGTAACCCATTACACAGTAAGAAAACCAAGGATCATAGATGTCAAGTCATTCATCCAGAGTCAAAACATTTTACACATATCATTATAAAAATAAAATAAATATCATTCTGTTTTGTTCACAAGAGTATTTTAACATGTATAAAACTTCAACTCTTGGGAAAGTTCCTTAACATTTGTGCCCCATACAAAAGAAAGAAAAAAGAGAATTACACTAATAAAGTCCCTTTTTAGAGCTATTATAGTTAAAATTATACTTTCTTTGTAAAAAGATTTAAAGAAAATAATATCTAAAATGGTAAGATATAATAAGCTTATCAAAAATGAGTAAGTGTTAAAAATAACATTTTTAGGGTTGAAGGTATAGCTCAATGATAGACCAATTGCCTAGTAAGTGTAAGGTCCTAGGTTGGACCTCTAGTACTACAAAACAAATAAATGAAATAATATTTTAAAAAAATAACTTAATTAAATCATGTCCCAAAATTTTCAGAAAAATTGGGTAACAGCAGTTTACAGTTAAACTTTCTGATAATTCAAGCATTAAAAATATTTCCAAAAATTATGGTAACTATATTTGTTAATATGAAGCTACAATTCAGGAACTATAAAAATACACAATATAAAATATATACACTAGTAAAATTAATTCGAACTTTTACAGTTAAAAAAATACCTTAGAAAATATTAGTCACTTAGACACACTGTGAATATCCACTATGACAATTCAGTGTTATAAATTAATTTCTATACAAGCAAATAAAACCACTCCTAATAGAAGCCAAAGGGGGGGAAAAACTTTTTAAGAGCAAACTGTACAAAACAGTACAATTTACCAAGCACCTACTATTTATAAAACACTATGAAATTTGTCCCTACTATTTCATTCAAAAATGAAATCAGATTTTCCTTTTTTGGCAGTACAAAACTTAAAAGGTAGGAATAATATCCTGGATATAAAAACAAAGGCTCTTCTCCACCAAGACTATCACTCAATGATTTCGAAATCAGAATTAAGTCATTTATCTGACTAAACACAAAGAAACAATCCATGTTTTTCATGTATATAACTGACATGTACTTTTAGTTATTTTTTCAGTTACAGTGGTGAGTTGGTTATGATTTCATATATGGTATTAAAGGAGAGTTTTACAGACAAGAAACACAATGACTCAGTCTGGCTCAACAAAAATTATAGCATAACTTGGTAAAGTATGGAAACTGAGAATCAGGAGACCTTTATTTTATGTGGTGCTGAGGATGGAACCCAGTGCCTCAAGCATGCTAGGCAAGCACTCTGTGACTGAGCCACAATCCCAGCCTAAGAGATCATGTTTAGCACTAAATATCTCTGTGATCCTGAAAGAAAAATCATCAACTATTCCTGACCTTCTAACATATATTGTGCCATTAGGTAAATTATTTAACTTCTCCAAGTCTATCCTCCCATTTGCAAACTTAAAAAGCTGGACCAGACTCCTGAAAGCATCTGGATCAATGATCCACTCCCAATGATTCAGAATGTCTGGTCTGGAACCTAGGAAGCTAAATGTTCACCAAGCACCACAGGTAATGGAAATATGCAGAGTCCTCTGTGACTCAGCTCTTTGGAATATCTAGCATAGTGTGCAGGACACAATAAATAACTAAACAAACATTCACAGAATAGAAGAAAGGAAAGAAGGGATCAGGTAAAGAAAGAGAGGGAAAGGGAAAAAGAAAAAAGGGGTGTTAACAAACTGATAATTATTTTAGGCTAAGAAACATACAAAATAGTAGCAAAATTAAACTTAGGTAAAATATACAACACACATCAGCAGCTGGAAAGCAAAGACCTCTGTCTACACAAATACAACTTTAAATATAACATGAACCTTTGTCATTATCATCTCAGGTAAAATTGCAAAGTACTAAGCAGGAAAAGGAAGAAAATAATACATGGAAGTAAAAAAAAAAAAGTTCTCATGGAATATTATTAGATGACTGAAATCCAATGACTGTCTTCCACAGGAAGAAGTGGACTGAACACAGAATTTTCAAGACCAGAACTTGAAACTGGGATTGAAATCTGAAGTTACTGATTACTCATATGCACAAAATTCATTTGGGACAATATATGGATTCCATAAATATTGTTGACATTAACTTCTGTCCAGTTTTTGCATTTTCCCATTCACTTACATTATAATTTTTTGAGATGTTTTATCTTCACTTCTGATGATCTTCAAATGTCAATGGCTCTTAACACATTAACTGTAAACAAACACAAAGGAACTTAGGGGAATTCAGATATTTAAGGAAGCCTAGAGTTAAGTATTCTAAATCACTGTGTAAAGGTTGTTGGGGGTGGGGGAAGGCTTTGGTATTATTTATCTGACTCATAATTTATCTGATCTTCAAAACATAAGACTTCTTTTAAACAAAAAAATACATGACCCATTTAATCATAGGGCAAAGAAGAAAAATCATCCTATTTTCTATCTGAAGAAAAAAACATTCAAAGCTAAAAAAAAATTCTCTCCAAATATGTCTACTCCAAATTTGTTAATGTACTAGGTAACTTTATCTTTCTCTAATAGGGCAACATGTTAAGAAAATGCACATCCTCATCACTACCACCCAATAAACCTGCCCTGGGACTGCCCTCTAACTAAAAAGATCTAGCTTGGACCAAGTACACCAGATCTTCAGGCATGAGCAGTTCTGCAGTTCTTTGAAGCACTCGCAGACCCTAAAGTCCAGCAGATTTGGATTCAAATGTCAAACTATTCTCTCTAATCTTCAGTTTTCTTAAAAAATTTATAAGATGGAAAAATTAATAGTCTTTACACAGTTATGAGGATTATATGAGAAAATGCATAAAGGATTTAGCACCATACTCAGCACATAGTAAGCACACAAACAACACATAAATGTTAAATGCTATTACTTATATTACATTGTATTTATTAATATTAATTCTATTAATCAATTACTACAACTCTCTACCATTTGGAAAGCATAGGTTATCTCAGGTGTTTCTGTTTTTAGCTTTCTGCCTTTGTTGTAATGAAAGAATGTTTTCTAATATCAATAAAAGAAAACATCTGAACCATACAAAACTTTGTTTTTGACCTTTGCAGGCATCTTGGCTCAGCTCAAGAATATTATTATGAAATAATAATTACTATGAAAATTACTCTGAGGCAGTTATTTTCCCTTACTAATACACAAACTCCTGACAAAAAGCTACTTCAACAACTGCTCACTTGCTTCTATCAGGAAAAGCAATCCTGCTAAGAAGGAAGATGGCTATAGTTGTAACTTACGCCTATTAAACCTTCAAAGCCTGATGAATAAAGGTCCTATCAATCCAGGGAGACTTATCTACTCTCCTCTACTTGCTCCAAAATGATTACACTCCTTGTGTTTGAAAGTTCACAACTAAAATGTAAATATTTAGATTAAGCAATACAAGAAAACATAAAGAACAGATTTCTCCGATTTTTCAATAAAATTTTTAGGTCAAGGATATAAAACAAACACAAACTACTGGCAAAAGCTTTCATAAACTAATATGGCATAAGATGACTAATTTTATTTCCCATATGAAGACAACATGCTTAAAACTGAAACAATAGAAAATACCTAAGTAGAACTTGATGCAACATTCTAGTAAGACATAAATCAGGGATAAATGGTTTAGGAATTGACACAAAACTGGAGAAGGAGTAAACAGAGTATAAATCTCATTACCACCACTACTTTATCATGGAATTCCTTGAGTTCTTCAAATGAAACAGCATAGTTGTTTATTCATCATTTGATTTCTACTTGCCTGGCAGGTAATGATCTAGCAATTATTAAATGTATCACTTTCATGTTATGGTCCTCAGGATTGTAAAAATATGGTCAAAATACACAAAAAAGTACAAAATTAAAGTGTTCTAAGATATGGGTTTTTTTTTCCCCAGGTGGCTACAATATGCCATCTCTCTCTTTCAATTTATTTTCTATTTTTTGATCATTGCATTTGCAAATCTAGGAATACTTTGTATACCACGGAGAAGTAGTTGATTATCTTCAATACCCATCCTCTCTTATTCCTTAGTGACAGAACCCCATTTTTAGCTCAGCACAAGGCCTTTAAGAAAAGACTGCATATGCAACCCTCCCCCTAACCTGGTTAACCATGGTCATGGGAACAGGTAATGACTAATAGGATGTAAGCTCAACAACTACATAAGACTGCCAAGAGTCTTTTAAAGAGAGGAATTATGTCCTGCTTCTTCCTTTTCTTCTTAAGTTGTAGTGGCTAGAGCTCCAATAACAATTTTGGTTTATGAGATAAATATGGATATAAGATACATAAAGGATCTGTGTCCTTGATCCTCAGTACTACCATATCAGATCTCTAGGCTTTCAAGTGGCTAAAAAATTATATCTAGTTTTAAATCACTGCTAGCCTGAATTTTCTATTATATTCTGCCAAATCTAAAACCTAACTGTAGGGCTGGGGATGTAGCTCAGAGATGGAGCACTTGTCTAGCAAGCATGATGCTCTGGGTTCAATCCCCAGCACTGCAAATAAATAAATTATAAAATACAACCTTAAGAAAATGAATCAAGAATTTGCCAAATATTAGTATTTAGATTTTTTGAAGTTTATATATTAAAACATATTTTGGAGTTTATTTAATTACTTTTAAAACACAGTAGATGCCCTTAATTAATATAAATTATAAAGCATTTAAGAAGCCTAAGAGTCTTTAAAGAATGAAAATGAAAGAAAGAAAAGAAAATGCTTCAGTAGTTAATACTGTGAGTCCTAGAGATAAGCACAATTAGTTGTGTGTAATAAAGTCACAGGAAAGGAATTGAAGTTATTATTTTCATTAGGAGGGCATCTGCCATAGTCCTTTTTATTTTAATAGCCTTGTACCAACCTTTTTATAGCGTTCCATTTATAACCTGATTTCCTGTGCAAGGCAGGCTTGTAAAATCATTTCCTATCCTCAAATATCACCACTTGAAGAGTTTTTAATACTCTACTTATTTAACTAAATCATAAGACACAAAGATAGCAAGTGCTTTACATATTCAAAACCATTTGCCTTAAAAGAGAAAATATTCCACACTAAAATCTGGAGAATTTCCATTACTCAAATCCTTACTCACATGCAGTCTTTGGCTCCAGTGATTGTGAATACAATAGTATTAACTTGGCAACTTTGTAAAATAAACTTACTGCTTTCTGGACATCTATATCCAGGTTATTTCCTTCTGTTGGACACAATCCAGATTTCACTCAAGTCATTGATAACTTCCTAGAATTTCTTCTTTATAACACTTTTTAAAATTCTTGTTACCAATAATATATCACAATAAGTATCTTTTAAAAAGAATTAAAAGCCTACAACTTGTACTTTTGATTTGTTACTCATGACTGAGAAAAAGTCAGAAATTTTCCTTTAAAAATTAGATATAGTAAATCAACAAGAGACGACTTTTACCTTTCACTCCTTCAGTTAACATGTTTATAAATATGCTCTCAAATAATGGGCTCATCACACTTCTGGCTAACATAAACCCTAATTTAGTCTGTTTCAACTAATGTAGATGAAGCTCTGAGGCACTAATCAGCAAAAGATCCAAGGCAGTGAGTGGCTCTCAAACTTCCGCAAGCATCAGGATTACCTGGGGGGCATATTAAAACATAAACAGGTGGTTCCCACGCTCAGGGTTTTAGATTCAGTTAGATCTGAGATATGTTGCTCAGTGGTAAAGCACCCCTACCTTCAATCCCCAGGACTGAAAAAATGCATTTTTAATAAACTTCCAAGAGTTGCTGATACTACTAAACAGGAACTATACTATGGGAACTACTAATTTACATTAAAGAAAACCACTAATGATGGCATAAGAAGCAAAGAAGAAAAAGTGTACAGGATCCGATCTCAGCTTCAATATGAAACTGCATATACTTTTAAGTGGCAATTAATCTTGTTAAAAGTCCTTTCTTTAAAAATTTAAATGATAATTACTGATTAATTCACAATAATACTGGGTCTTATCCAAGAGAACTTTAATGTTCTTTTAGAGTCCTGGAAAAATAAAATCAAAACTAAGTAATTTTTAGATTACCAACATGTTCAATAGCTGATGCAAATTTCTAATAATAATATCAAGTTTGTAGGTTCAACCTGGTAGCTTCACTTTGCCCTACATCTATAGTTTGCAACGCTAATTCTGGCCAGGTGCCTCAAAAGAAATTCCAAGAGTCACAATGTGAGCAAAAAAGTGATAATACAAAAATCCATCACCACTACTGAATTAATATGTCAAAAGCATACTTCGTACCAACATATCACCTTTAAGAGAACTTGAAGCTGAAACTAAAGAGAACACCTTGCAATAAAATGTTTTAGAAATCTCGGAAACTCTTCTACCTCTTCAGGCTATAAATATAATAAAAATTCATGAAAACAGAAATCCAGGATTTGCTATTTTAAAACGATAAGGAATAGCAATTTAAAAATGCAATTAGTTGGGGTCTACTTTGAGTATGTGTACTCGCCCTTTTTTTTTAATGTGAATTAAATGTAAATATGGACTGCTCAAAAATACTAATGAACTTATCATCTAAAAATCATGTGATTAAAAAAAAGACTGGGACAAAACGGTAGTGGCCAGAATAGAATAATGAAACCATAAAGTTATATGATGGATAAAAGAAAAAACAATTTAATAAAATGAATGACAAGAGAAAAGGGAGCCAAAGTAATCAAGAGTAGCAAAGGGTAAAACAGATAAGTGAAAGGGACCATAATAATATTAATATAGATAAGATTGGGAACTGAAAAGATAATGCACTCAGTAAAATCCACATAAAATTAACTTCAGCTTGAACCTAAAATAATAATTGGTCAGACCAAAAGAAGAAAACCTTTTCAATCCCTTGAATGGGAACTATAAATAGGATTAGTGGTGAGAATTCAGATAACATTCTTTTATTTAGATGTTCACAGAGCACATGTTTGGCACTTGATATCTTACTATTTGATTACACATAATAGAAAGTAAAATAATGAAAGAAACCTACTCAAGCTCGGACTGAAAAATGGAAATAATACTGTACAAACTGAAAAATGAAAAATTAGACTACGAGGGCAAAATGTATAGTTCTGAGTGTCAGGCCTATCCTAGCATCCAACTTACAATCTTGTTTTATTTATATTCCATACAGTTCCATTTACATCAAGAACCAACAAGACCAATAAGAATAAAATTAGGGACTACAGCAAGATTATCAGTATGCTAAGTGAATTTTTTCACAACTCTCTCTGAGAGGCTGGACACATGCAAAGACTAGTCAACAGTAGAATACACAAGAGTTGATAAACAGTTTGCAGAAGTCAAGCGATACCAAGCAACACTCAACAAAGAATACTACTTTTTTTAAGGATACTAGATGACAAAACCACAATTGGTTAGAGAACAGCTATTTGAATTATCATATAAAGAGTAAAACTACTCTTTTATGATCAAAGGCATCAATTCCATGGTCTAGAAAAGTTAAAGGCAACAGCAACTCTGAAACAATTACAAATGTATATGAAGACTCAACCTATTGAGTTTAATACACTGTACAATGGCCAAAAACTTCAACAATGTGTGTCATTTTCAAAAAATCAATGGGCCACCAAAGGTTGCTGTACTATTTTTCAGATTTATGTCCATCCTTCTTCCCGGAAGGACTCAACACATCTATCAATAAACATTTAAACATAAGATAATATTTCAATTCAGTTCATCTCATGGTAGAAGTATCTAAAGAAACTAGAGCTAAATGTATTACCAGCTTCAATTATATATTTGATCTAAGTATCTTGCTAAGCTGAAGAGAAAGTCACATAGTTTCTATTTTCTAACAACCTGATAGCACTTTTTTTTGCATAAATAATTTTTCCACATAGCTAAATTCAGCAGAAATTTGTCAACTCTATTGTGTAAAAGACATTCTGTGACACATTTAACAGTCTTAACTATTATGTAACTATATTATATAGCTTTATCAATATATCAAAACAAATGCACAAGAAAATTTTCTAACTGAGCCTCCATAAAAACAAAAACCTAAAATAAACTACACTTAATGGGTGACAGTATTGCAAAAAACTGAGATAACACAGTCAAAACACTGATATTTTGCTTTGTCACAGGTTAACAAAAAGTAAAAACATAAAACTAGATAGACATTTAACAGCTTTTAAAACTATCCTGCTTGCGTTTTAGATCATCTGTGACTGTTAGCCTAAATGAAGTTTAGAATCTAAAAGTAAGCTTTCTAACAAATATATATGATGAAGCTATTATACATGTTGATTAGAAAGAGTGCCACAAATGAACATTATGATTAATGAAATTTAAAATGTGAAAGTGTGGTTGGGTAACTTCTATATGTAGATAGTCAATAAATGTTATTTTTCTATCTTACCTAGGAAAGAAAGCTGGTTTTCTCTTCTGGAAAATATGAAATTATACTTCTAACCAGAAAGGAGACTAATTTACTATAGTCAAAATTCTATCTAGTTGTTCTTATTTTCTCGAATTCATGTATCAGTTAACGCATTTTTTATTAAGAAATAAAGATAGACATATAAACTTTAAACCTGCTGAACTTACTTTCTTTTCAGGAAACTAATGTGTTACAGTGCAATAGTTAGAAACATTAGTTTTTAATAACAGATAATATTTATTTAGTCTAATTTCAAAATCCAAAACAGAAGTTGTTTGCAAAGGTAATGCCTTAATAATTAGTAAATATACATTCACCTAAATAATGTCATTAAAAGCAAAAAAAAAAAAAAGAATTTTAGAGTGTCAAGATACCTAGATTTTCTACATCAATCCTATATTTTAAAAGATTAGAAAACTGAAAACTAGAAAAATTAAATGATACAGGACAAATAGCTAGCAGACTTCAGCATGCAGCTTCCTGACTTTCAGTACTTTCTTCTAACATACTGTAAGGCCTCCTCTAACTGCTCTCTCCTGCATCAGAATACTAGTTGTATCATCTGTTTTCATTGTATTTTATTATTCTGAACATTGTCATTTGTAACTTTCCCATAAAACTATAATTTTCCAACTTTTTTAATGAAAGGTTTTACTGTTGAGCCTGTAAATCCTCAACTTTCTAAATTTAATTTTAAAATTTTGAAACAAACGTATTATATATATAATGAGAGGAAGAGAAAAATTCTTATCTCTTGATAATTTAATGCACAAATTCAATATATCATTGAATACCTACGACATGCTGGGTCTATGTTAAGTGCTAGAGATATGAAAATGATTCATATGGTCTTTGCCTTCAAACATCCTATAACCTACTAGAAAAGAATTAAACCAACAATTAAGAGTGTAGTTGTTAAGAACTGAAAATGGAGTGGGTCTGAACTATACATGCATATAATAGAAAGAATCTAATTTGGAATGATGAGATCAGTCAAAGGTTCCTCAATGAGGTACTGAATATCCATGGGGGAAAAAATAGCAGTACCACCATAGAGCAGTAGAATCCAAAACGAATTAAAAGACAGAGCAATTTCAACTTATTCAAAGAAAAAAAATGAAAATTGTGTGCTCTCACACAGCAATTTAGTATCTAATAACACTCTGTTTTAGTGGAAAAGACCTGATTTCATTGTAGCTTTATAACAAACACTATTTCTTAATAAAATTTTAAATTACCATTCTAAAAAGACTGTATCTAAAACATGTCCAGTTAATATTCACAACAGCTGTCTACAAAGATGTATACAATCCTCCTCAAAAATCTAGAATAAAATACCCATATGTTACCAGAGAAATGACAACCTGTAGAACCAGGAGTCCAAGAGAGATGAAAACATTCACTTTTCTTTCTTAAACCAGTAAGGACAAAGACTATTCAGATACTGACTTTCAGCCGGAAGACCGAGAACTCAAAGCACAGGGGACATTTTTATTTACATATTTAAGCAAAACTGGGGAATGGGGAGAGAAATGAAAGTGTTTGGCAAAGCGTGAAAGAGAAGTGATGAAAAAGAAAAAAAAGGCGGAGCTGAATATGAACACAAAAACTGAAGACGTAAGAACGGATGGAGGAAAAAGTGACGGATGGTTTTGGAAAGAGTGCTAAAGACAAAAAGCAAGAAACGAAGGAGTAAGAAATTGGGGAAAGGGCTGTCCAAAGAAAAAATTGAGAATCAAAGATAAGAAAAAATAATGAACTGGAGCTATGAATATCCGGGAAAAAACGAGACTGAATAAGAAAGGTGAAGGGACCCAAAAAGAAACAGCGAGTTTTCGACCTCCTTTTCCTCACCCTCTATACCCCAGAGAGAGAGGAAGAAGTAATTTCCAAGTCTCAAAGAAGAAATTCCGGAGCAACCTTCAGGAACCAGAATCCGTGAGTTGGGGCACCATCCAGCGAGTTCCCGGCCCCTCTCCATCCCCCTCGGACGCTGGGCGGGGCCCTGGGAGTCCCGGTTACCTGGACAGGGAGTCCACGCTGGGCGGCCGAGCCGCTGCGGGCTGGGAGCCCAGACTCTCGCAGCTCGAGCTCTTCTCCATGGCCCAGCAGGGGCAACGAGAGCAAAAGGCTGAAGGGACCTCCGCGACTGCCAGGCAGGGAGCGGAGGGCGGAGTGCACCAGGCAGGGGCCGCGGTCAAGCCAGCGCCGGCCTGGGAGGAAGACCGGAAGCGGCCATGTTCCCCCAGACTGCACCGCGCCCGGGGTCTGCGGCCTCGGGAGGACCCCGCGGCGCCCCTCGGACGCCGAGCCTGAAGCGCGGCGCTGCCTGCGTACCTCTGCCCCGCCCCACGCACGCCTGCGGGCTGGGGCGGAGAGGCGTGAGGCCTGGAGGGAGGGAATTCTGGAGATGAGGGGAAAAGGGAGGATCTCAAGGGAAGAAAGAAACCAGGAGCTGACGGCGTGGGAAGGATTGAGACAGGGATGTGATGACAAAGAAAATGAGAGGAATAGAGAGGAACGTGGGTAGGCTGTCGGATCTAGAGGCAGAAGGAACGTGGGGGGTGGGGAGCAGGGAAAGAGGAGAATGGGGGACCAGAGATGACAAAGTGTTCAGGAGAACAAGGGGCTGAAAATATTGATTGTGGGATGAGAATGGTTTATGTAAAGGCTGCTTGGAGCCATGAAGACATGGATTGAGAGTCTAGCTCTGCTATTTACCTGCAGTGTAACCCAAGGCACTGATCAACAGCTTCCTTATCTTTAAAAACAAAAGGAAGAATAATCTCACAGAGATGTATTTATAAGTGCTTGGCAAGTAATAAGCACACAAGTGTTAGCCATTAGTAGTCCTACTTAAGAAGGGTGTGTAGGATGGATTGGACATAAACTAGTACAAATTCAATAAATGGTAGATGTTATGAGTAGGAGCTATAGGAAGGGTGGCAGAACAGAAAGAAGGGGCTGGTAAGGAAAGGGTAGCAGAAAATATAGGTGAGGGAGTATGGAATGCTCAAAATTGTTTTCTTTCCACCTCTGGCCAGCATTGTAGAACAAGCACTGGGTCTGGGTCGACTGTGGCTTGGATTTATGGATTTGTGTGATTTGGAAGTGTCTGTAAAGGAAACGCACTTTGACATTAATCCATTGTCCACAGAAGGAAGTATGGAAGAGGGTTTGGAGGGGGAACTGAAAAACACACAAAAAGAATTAAATATATATGTACTACTGAATGTCCTGGTTTTGAACACGGAACCAACTTTTAGTGATTCCTTACCCTTTCAAATTCCCCCTGCAAAGCAGGAAGTGAGTGAGGAAAGATAAAACTGTGATAAGAGAACAGGAACTGGGTAAAGGGGAAATGTTTCTGTGTGTAATTTTCTGTTACAAAGGATTCAGGAAGAACATAGAAAGGACACCATAAAGGAATTTTTCAAATTGAGACTGAATCTCGGTCACCTCATGTGTGGATAATCAGGGTCCAAAGACTGACCTTTCTACAAAAAGCAATTAAAAACTCTAGATAACAAAAAAACTACCAGAGGGGTCAGGAGAGTAAAGAGAAGCAGGCAGAGTAAAAACTTGGAGTACATGACCAACAGAATGAATTTCCTTTTTTTTTTTTTTTTTTCGGTGGCTTTAGTTAATGGACAGCCAAAAACTGAAGCAGCACAGAATGGTAAAAACTCCAGTAGAAAGTGTGCTATCTTTCTAACAGTAAGGAACCCCAGTTCCTGGGGGCACACACCTGTAATCCCAGTGGATCCTCAGGTGAGTCAGGAAAACAAAGAGTTCAAAGCTAGCCTCAGCAACTTAGCTAGGCACCAAGCAACTCAGTGAAACCATGTCTCTAAATTTAAAAAATACAAAAAGGGCTGGAGATGGGGTTCAGTGGTTAAGTGTCCCTGAGTTTAATCCCCAATACCAAAAAAAAAAAAAAAAGGAACCAAGAAAAGGGAGCCCAGGGAAGCTGGAAAGTGAGGCAGGAATTTCAAAAGGAGCAAACCAGAAAGGAGGACTCTAAACTGTATATGAACTTATTTCTTGATTTAAGTCCTTATTCGATTTGAACAACATAAGAACAATGCAAGCGATCCAGATACAGAACCAAAAGTCAGCTATCCCTCTTACTTGTCCAGATGAAAGAACTGAAATGAGATTTAAGTTGTTACCTATGTAAGCAAGACAGTTTGTGTTGAACCAAATTAATTTTCTACCATAATAATTTTCTATCCATACTTTCCAGAGGAATATAACAAAAAATCAGAGATTCCAAAAGATAATTTTCAAAATATCTAGGGCATGATCGAAAATTACTGTAAGTGCCAATTACATAATTCAAAAGTACCAAGAAAATCACACAAATTCTCAAAAGATTATCAAAAGATGCTAAACTCAAGAGGACATGTTGGAATTATCCCACAATGGTTTAAAGCATCTAATATTAATACATTCAATGAAGTAAAGAACAATATACTGTTCTAAATGAAAAGACACTAAATTTCAGCATAGAAATTGAATTTTTTAAAAAGAGGTATAAATAGAATTTTAGGAAATTCATTAAATAAATTCAATAAAAATATTCAGTGGCTGGACTTAATGGCAAGAATGGACTTGATAAGAGAAGAATATAAGGAACTTGGAAGACAAATCAGTATAATTTATCCAATCTAAAAAACTTTTTAAAAAATGTTAACAGAATCTGAGTAGCCAAAAACTTACTGATTTTGGCCAACAACATAAATTTACATATTTAAGATGTTAAACACATAAAATATGATAAATACAAAGAATAAAAAGAACAAAGAAAAGCATGACAATGTATTATGATCAAACATTGAAAAATAAAGAGAAACTGAGGAGAGGGGATTTGGCACTTATGGTCCCAAAAGGAAGAACCACAATTCTAAAGAGCACAAAATACCTAGCAAGTTCTGATAGTAGAAAATAGTAGAATAACTTCTTTAAAGTACTAAAAGGCTGGCAAGGGAGGATGAAAGAATTCTATATATACAGCAAAACGTTTTTCAAAAAGGTATAATAGGGATGCAGGTTATTGCTCAGTGATAGTGCTGACCTAGCATGTGTGAGGCCCTTGGTTCAATCCCTAGTACCATCCCCAAAAGAGTAAAATAAAGATGATTTTAGATCAAGAACAATTAAAATAATTTATTACCAGCAGACACACAACTACAAGAAATGAATTCTAAAGGAAATTCTTCAGGTTTAAGAGAAGTGATACTGAAGGAAACTCAGACATTCAGGATGAAGATTAGGAATGGGAAAACCTGGATAAATGTAAGCAATTATTTTTTCCTCTAAATTTCTTTAAAATGCATACATCTGTTTAAAACAAAAATTATAGCATTTTCTTATGGACTTTCTAATACATGTATACATAATCTATGTGAAAATAAAGATTGTTAAGGTTGTTGGTAAATGGGCCTACATAATTGTAAAGTTGCTATATTTTATGTAAACTTGTACAATATACTCTAAAGTTGTTTTATGGTAAGGTATGTTCTTTTATTATTATTATTTTTAGAGATTAGAAATAAAAGTCCTGTGGCATTGGCAGTTTAAATATCCTATGGTAACATGAAGCGACATAAGGGACCAAACTGTAGACTTTAACTGTACTGCCCATCTTCTTAATATTTATACTGTTCATCTTCACAAATAATTTATGCAATTCTTACAGTCTTTGGAATTAAAATCATTGAAGATGAACAATAAAATTTCCTTTGCTAACATGTACTTCTATAAGTTTCTTGGTTAAATTCCTATAATTTCCATATTTCACTACACCATGCTTTTGAAAACGAAGGGGATTAGCAAATTATGCTGATATACTTAAGTAAATCATGCTGCAATCCGTATTTTTCCAAAATGTATTAGTTTTATAAATGTATTTTATCAATATAATACACCTACAAAATTTTTGTAGGAAATCTCTCTGTAAACATTCTTGCTCATTATTAAATATTGCTTGCAAAAATCAGAGATTGTTGCATATTGATCCCCTCTGTGAAGTTATGATTAGATTCTATTAAGTTCCCCACAGATACAATAATAGAAAAAAGGTCAGAATTTCCAGCTCCTGACAATATGATGAAATGATGTGGGCTCTGTCTTCCTCCCCAATGCAACACTTACAGCTGGAGGGAAACTGGTGCAGCTGATAACATAACATAAATACTGTGAGAAGTCTTTTGAGAGGCAGAAAATGGCTAGAGTCTAATGAACAGTGGAGAATAGCAGCCCATATAAAAAGTGAAGAAAAAATGTAAATATTTTTCTTTTTTGCATATTACCATGATTAGATCTTTATCTTCCTGTTTCTTCTGCAAAGCAGAAAATAAATGCCAGCCCTGTATCAAGGAATGGAAGGGCAACCACAATGTGGTGCTATAGCCAGCTGGAGTAGGAAACTGTAATAATAGATACTGGAAAACTAGCCAGGTCTCAAGCATTTTCATCTCGTCAGCTTGCCTTATAAGCTCAGAGGGCTTTATGGAAATAACCCAGAGAAACAACTCTTACACAAGGGCTATTTCCTTGATAGAAGCACAATAGAATTCCTTAAGGATCAGTGTTGCCTGATTGCTGGAAGGGTTGCAAGTGGAGAGTCCTCAAGTCCAGTTTGTAGGGCAAAGGGAGCATGAGCTTTCCCTGAAGTCTCTAAGATAAACACAAGCTTGGATTTTTCTCCTCCAAAATACATTATCTAGGAGAATATGAGCTCTGAGAGGAAAAAAAACATAATAAATGTGAAGAAAACAATGACTATAAACATACACACGGTAGGGGAAAAATAACAATTTTAAAATATCTTAAGGAAGTAGAAGGCTATTGCTACATGAAGCAGGAAAAACAAGTTATCAAGAAGGACTTTGGTATTTATCCAAAAGGACTAAAATTAGCATACTATAGTGATACAGCCACGTCAATATTTATAGTAGCACAACTCAAAAGAGCCAAGTTAGAACCAGCACAGGTGCTCATCATTAGATGAATGAATTAGGAAAACGTGGTATATGTACATAGTGTAGTTTTATTTATATCCATAAAGAGTAATGAAATTATGGCATTTGCCAGTAAATGAATGGAACTGGAGAACATTATACTAAATGAAATAAGCCAGACTCAAAAAATCAAGGGTTGAATGTTTTCTTTTACATGAAGAAGTCAGAGCAAAATAAGGGGAATAAAGGTAGGGTCAGATATCACAAGGATAAAGAGAAGATCAGTGGAGTATAAGGAGATTGAAGGGGAAGGAGAAGGGATAGGAGGAAATGCAGAACGAATGTAACAAAATTA